CTTTGTCACTGGAGCTACTACTACTAAACTTACTTCCATGTACTCAGCTTTAGTTCTACTCAAACGAAGGCCTTTAGACTCCAAAGTTGACCTTTATAATTCAAGTTTTTCCTGAGTTCTTTCTCTAGTCTTATCCACAAGAAGCATATCATCAGGGAAAAACATACACCGTGGTACATCCTCCTGTAAATGTCGAGTAAGAGCATCCATAACTAAAGCAAAAAGATAAGGGCTTAAAGACAATCCCTGATGTAATCCACTTCTTGAAATAGAAAAAAATTTGGTCAGTCCTCCTTCTGTTTGAGCACAAGTAATAACTCTACTATACATATTTTTAATGACTTGAATAAAGTCATATGAACACCTGTCTTTTCTAAAACTCTCCAAAAGATATCTCTTTTAAGTTTTTTCTAGATCAATAAAAATCATATGTAAATCATTCTTATTCTCTATGTACTTCTCCATCAAATTTCTCAATAAATGTATAGCTTTCATAGTAGACCTGCCCGTCATAAATCCAAACTGATTATGTGAAATCTTTGTAATATGTCTTGTCCTATTTTCAATTACTCTCTCCCATATATTTAAAGTATGACACATCAACTTAATTCCTCTGTAATTTGCACAATCTTGTGCATCTCTTTTATTCTTAAAAAATGAGGATCAAAATACTCTTTCTCCACTTCTCAGACATTTTTTTAGTTTTTGAAATAGTATTAAATAGTTTAGTAAGTCAAGAAACTCCCAAATCTCCTAAATATTTCCACACTTCAATTGGGATATCATAAGGTTCTACAGACTTTCCACCATTATTTTTTTTTAAAGCATCCTCAACATCTTTTTTACTAATATGACAGTAAAAATGAAACATTTTGTTATTATTAACAATATTAAGATCACTAAGGGTAATCATATTTTCAGAAACTTCATTGAAAAGTATATCAAAATAATTCACCCACATGTTGAATATCTTTTTTAAAAAAATACTTTTTGATTTTCATCTTTAATACACTTTACTCGAGTTAAATATTTACTTTTCTTTTTGTTTATCTAGTTTATATATATATATATATATATATATATATATTTCCTCTTTAGTATATAATTGATTATAATGATCATTAAAAGCAGAATTTTTAGCGTCATTGATTGCTCTCTTAAACTCTCTACGAGTGATTTTATATTTTTCCCAGTTTTTTATGTTTTTACTTTTGAACCAATTTCTATAACATAGCTTCTTATATTTTATTTTTTCGTGCACATTCTTATTCCGCCGCCAACTTTATATTCATAGAAAAAATTCCTTTTGATCTTTTAAATATTTCTTTTGTTACTTGTTTAATAGTGTTTGTTATTTTCCCACATAGAAATTGCTTTTTCATACAAATCCCAAATCTTGAAATCTTGAAGTTTACTCGTAAAAATAATTTTATTTTCTTTTAGGTGTCCAAATCTACTTTTAGGTGCCCACATCTAATTCTATAACAATGATTCTTAGTATTCTTTATTTTACAACAGTTCGCCTTAAAATTTAGAGCCAGTAATCAATGTTGAGTACTTGAATTCTCACGTGGAATGACCTTTCAATTTTTATATTCTCGACGATCTCTTCTTCTCATTAAAGAATAATAAATTTGTGTTTTGTTAGATCCATTCTTATAAGTGATAATATGCTTATCTCTTTTCTTGAATAAAGTATTAGCAATAACAAAATTATACGCTAAAGCAAAATTTATAACGACTCTACCTTTTTCATTAATCATTCCAAAAATTGGCCATTATGAATATTTTTAACGTCTTCTGCCACTCTACCTACATGTTCTTTTGAATCTTCTCCAATAAAAATTATTTCTTTAAGGGGTGTCGTTTGTATTAATTCTTCTAAGTCATTCAGAAATTTTTCTTTAAAACCTATATCTAAACCTACTTGAGGAGCATAAACACTTATAATATTAAAAATCTTAGTATCAACAACCATCTCAAGGGCTATAATTTTATCTTAAATTCTGTTAACTTTTACTACATTATCTTTCAAACTCTGATCTATAATTACACGTACACCATTTCTAGTGCGACTCTTACCTGAATACCAAAGTTTAAAACATAAGTTATAAATTTCCTTAGACTCCATCCCATTTAGTTTCTTGATTAAATAAAATATTTATCTTTCTATGAATCATAATATCAATTAATTTCATTAATTTACTTGTAAGAGTACCTATGTTCCAAGATACTAACCTAATATTAGTTTCATTAACTAACTTCTTTACCCACATCCGTCCGTAATAGGAGAACCCTTACTTATTTGACACTACATTCGGGTGCCGGTGTTGCGGCCTTTACACACTTTTTATGGTATTCAGGCCATATAGCTTTTTGCTTCTAAGGGATGCCCTAGCATTTACATAGTGATCAAAAGGATTCATGTCATGATGTTCCGACAAATTTATGCTGACTGTCGACTACCTAACGCAACCCTCCACTTTTCATATCCGGAGCGTGGGACCCGACAATGACAGTGTTTAGTCTTGGCACAATAGCAGTAAAATATTAAGAAAAAAGAACAAATGAGTTGGATGAAGATAGGTTGCATCTGGATACCTCAGGGAATTTCTTATTTTTCTCGTGGCCTTGCTTATGAAAATGTCTAAAAAAAGTCATTCTCTAGCATTTTTGCAATATGAAAGCTTGGGGGGTTTTCAAAAATCACGTGCTGACAATAATTATTTTTGTAGAAACAACTCAAATTTACTTATCATGCTGGTTGGAAATATGTTCATCAACCAAGACACGAGTAATAGGTGTATTAAGTGAAATTGAGGCGGAGTTTGCTTTCAAAGAATTTTTTAATCTAAACCCCATGGAAAAAGTACTGCATGATTAATAAGATCAAAATAAATATGCAAAGTGGAAATCCATATCAGATTGATGAGATATTCGTAATTTCTAATATGGTAGTCAACTTTAGCATTTTAATATGGAATCCTTTGACATAATACGATTGCTGTGATGAAAATATATGAAATACTCTTCACCATTTTGGAGCCAGATAAGAATATGTCCAGCATACTACTTGATAATTCTCCTTTTGAAATCATCAAATGAATTTTATAATTGGTTTTATGAAAACTGATATTCCCACTAAATATAATACTCTTAATGAAAGGCATGTATATAATAAATCCATTAAAAAACATTCTTGAAAATAAAGCACAATAATTATTTCTTGAAAGAAAACATTGCAACATCAACAACAAGCCTGTTTTCCACTAAGTGAATCTTTTTCTCTATTCTATCCTATTGAGTGTCATATTTCATTTAATTCTTTATTATATTACCTACAAAATAAACTCTAAGATGATTAAAATATACAATTTTGCATGAAATACTGTATAATAAAAACATGTAAATCTAACAGGTTAAAGATAATAGAAGCACGCCAATAGTATCAGAGTCATGAATACCAACTACCAAGTAAACAATTTTCTAAGCCCATCCAACCAAGAATTCCCCGCTGGAAATTTATCAATATGCCTGAAATTTAAGAACTTTTCTGGCAGTTTCTTTTGCCTGGTTCTTAGCAAGGTTTAGGTGATACTTTTTCCCAGCCCTTCTCTCTCAAAAATTTTGACATTGGATCAATCCACATACATAACAAAATGATAAAAGAGGTAAGGATGGTGAAAAGTGGCTGCATTCGTATAAAAAACTTCCAAAAAGACTACCAACTGAAAATTAGAATAGAAAAATGGTGCATTTCCCTTTTTCGATTGACATCTCTCTAGCACTTATGCAGCTTCTTGCCAATTTTACCAGATGAATACCAAGTGTTTGAGGCCCACGCCTAGAGGCGCTCCTCAAACTAGGGCGATCAAAAAGAATCCAAAGTTTAAGCTTCACTGTCACCAATGAGACTACATTTTTTTTTTTAAAGCGTGCACTTCGAGACTTTATTCCTAGAGGCGTTTGAAGAGCACTTCAATTAGATTGTTTGAAGGACACTTCAATTAGATTATGTAAAAGAAATATGATTATATATTATATTTTATTATATTATATTTTTAATTTACATTATTTTGTATTATATTATTTTATATTATATTATTAATTTATATTATATTTTATTACACCTATATATAATATATTTGATGCAACAATTGAAAAAGTCAATCACACGATTTTAGTGTGATGTCTTGGTAGTATTATTAATTTGTTATTTTGTTGGATTTAATGTTAATTGATATATGGAGAGAAACAGAAAAATGTAGTGATTGAATTAGAGTTTGAAGATGCCAATGAGATAAAATCAAATAATGATAAAATTATTACATATGATGATTTTTTGAATATGATGAAAGCGATGATGAAGATGCTCGCTTATCTTGAATTTATTTTCAAACTTTCTTTTTGTATCCATATTTAAGATTGAGATTTGTAGTTTATGTTATTTTAAAAATCTTTTATATCAACATTTAAGATTGAGCTTTGAGATTTGTTTTATGGAAAATAAATTATATCAGTACATCAATAGTTTATGCCATATTTATAAATTATTTTTAATATAGTAAGCCTTTTTTAATTTTTTTTATTTTGAGGATTATACCTTGATCCATCTGGAGGCCTACACGTCGCCTCACTTCCTTGATTTCTTTATTTAAAACTTTTTGAATGCCTAAATTTGTTTGTGTATTCCACTTCATTCTTTGCCCCAGCTTGTCAAATGTTTTGTTTATCTCACTATAAACTTTAGAGTAAATACAATGAGAGCTGTTGAGGAAAGGTCCTATGTGGACTTGTTTCACTTCTGAAATCTTTTGATATATAGTCAACTAAAACAAATGCAACTGGTGATTAGCAATTTGTTTCGCTTTGACACTTTACCCTTAGAATTTGACTTAAATCAATTTGTTTTTTTTTTTTTTTTGGTTGGTTTTACAATTGGTTATTAAGAGAAGAGTCCAATACTAATTGTTATTATTTTTACCTTTCGCGTCATGTAGGTGGCACCATTCAATACCTATTACCCACAGCTTGAAGAACACTTAGCTTATGCTGGTGTTGATGCAGCTATTAATAAGTGGGATGAACCTGTGGTCCTGGGTATGGTTGATCCTCATGACTCGCTATCTCATCCGGCTGGAGTATCTGATGTTCAAGCTGAATCCGCAGCATACCTTGATCCTGAACAATTTACAAACTTTTGGGTGAGTTTAAAAAATGGCATGATGCTGCTTTCACAAAAAAAAAAAAGATGTTTTCATATTTGGAAGCTTTTGTGAACTCTTCATACTAACTAGTCATCGATCTTTACATTTTTTATGCAATCCTTATACTTTATATAGAAGTTCGCTTTGATTTCTTTGAGGATGCATTTGTACTAAATTTGTAAACTTCCCTTTTGGGAGGACGTGCAATGAATCTGATTTGATTCCTTTTCTTTGTCTCTTTAAATTTATAATGCAGATTCCCAACTGGTTTGGAGATTTACCATCACATTTAACCAGATGTAATCCTTTTCCTTTACCTGAAATTTATATGGCATCCCAGAGAAATAAGGTAGTGTTGCTCCGTAATCATTATTTTGATGTTTGTTATGCAGTCATTATTTTAGTTCAATGAGTTCTCTGTCTCTGTTTGTGTTTCTTCCAACTGCAAGATCTATTTCAGCTATTTAAGATATTTATTTATTTTTTTTAATGAATGATTTGTTATCTTTTGGATTTAATGAGTGTCCTATTTAGGTTTTGGTTGACGTGCTAATCTTTTTATAATCATTTTCTAGGTTTTACTACTTGCTGACATCCAAAAAGCTTTGAGGGACTTGCAAATTGATGAGGACAGGAGACGGGAGCTAGCATCTGCTCTTCATACACATTTCAAAGATTGGTTATATGGTAACGTTTCCTTGTTTTCTACTTTAGCGCACATATGCAAAATTTTGTTATAAAAAATCTGTAATATGCATTACTAATTTGATCCTCCTCTAAAAGTGTCTGCTGATTTTATTTTTGTTTTAACTTTTATTCCATCATTGTTCTATTTCCTTCATTTTTCTTCGGTTATTGGGTTGGGAAAATTCTTGTAAAAGGTATTGTTGTCAGGTAAAATAAGAGCGAAGGTGCTTAGTTTGAGTGGCACAAAGCTGTGTAGAAGGAATTTCTCATACAACCTGGTTTCTTGCCGCATTTAGTGTACATTATTTTGTATCATAACCTGCATTTCATAGAAGATATTGTCCATAATGTCACGGACAAATAGTCCCACATCGGCTAGGTGTAGGGCCGAAAAGCAGTATTTAAGTCCTGGGCTGCCCACCACCCATAAGGGCTCTTTTGGGAGGTGACAATAAGCTACAAAGATTGGAGTTAGGAGTTGCATGCATTATGAGCCGTGTAGGATGTAGTTGGTCACATAGGTTATTATGGTGAGTTACAATAATATTTATGGGCCACAAGGTCATAATTGGGAGCTCCAAGAGCTATCAGACATGTAGAACGTAGTTGAATCAGTTCATACAAGTAATACCGCATCCTACAGGGTTTCTGTTTACATGCACAGCAAAATGACCATTAATCCTTTAATAAGCTGAGTACAGTAGACTTAAGCTCAAAAGCTGGCAAGAACTTATTATGATTTGATAAAGCTCTAAATTGAGAAATGAGATTTAATTGAGCCTTAATTGAGCCAACTTGCTAACCTATGAGCCGAGATAAGTCAAGCTTGAACTCAGGCTTGTATATTATGTTAAGCTGTAATCTGAGCTATAGCACAAACTCATGCCTTGATAAGCTCAGATCATGAGCTTTTTAATCAGTCGAATTCAAGCTAACTCGCAAGCCGTCTCGGCCCACTTAAACCTCTAAGGTTACAAGAGTCTAAATTTTAGAACACATTGTTCAACAATAGCCTTATTATTATTATTATTATTATAACTGATGTCATAATACAAAATGCTAAATAAAATGTCTACCTAGTGCCATTTTATCTAGCAAAGTGAGACACCTCAAAGAAATTGCTATATTATTTATCTTGTTGTTAGTTGTTCACGTCTTCTATAAACATTATCATTTCGATCGCTCATCTTTTAATCAGTTAAATTAACCTGAAAAGTTAAGTTAAATATAATAGTGAGACATTAATTACTCATACTTCTAAATTACAGTAATACAAGAGAAAAGAAATTGATATGCATGTCAATTAAATTTTTAACAAATTAATATAAGTATTTGATGCTATTCAAAGAATTATATTATATCAATAGTCTATCAATATCATTATATATTCATGCAACCGTCCTAGGAGCACCGTTTAAAATTTTATACCAATTAAGGTACTCAATATCAATATCATTTTCCATATAAGTGCACAAGTAGCTTAGTGTTCCTTAGCTAGTATCATAAAAGGGTGACTCCATCATAGTCAGTCTTGCACATAAAAATATTCTATGAAAATCATTATTTATAAAAAATATATATAAATCATTTAATATTTATGTCAATTTAAATAATGTTTTGCACACATATCATTCATACAATATAAACAGATCTCAATAGAATCATAAATCATGGGTATGCATAACTATAATAGTAACAGTTAAAGCATTTGGTTGAGAAGAAATAAAATATTACAATAGTATAAGAACATGAGTACTCATCTTGATGTAAATTAATTTGTCTTGAAGTCAACTCTTCTGAAAATTGAAAGCCAAAAATAAACATGACATAATCTCTAATTAATTTTTTATTTTAGTAAACTATTAGTTTTACACACACACACATACACACATAGGTCTGACTATAAAAGCATTTATAGCTTGAAAAATATGCATCTTGATGTTATCCATATATTACAATATGCACTTTAAAGCATTGAAAGCTTATGATTCAGTTTTCTTTGAATTTTGTTAACCCAATTTAACTTTTTATGTTATTTGAAGGGATGAGTAGCGACAAAATGTTGTTTGAAAGTAAAATGAAGCCAAAACTTCTCATCTATCCTAAAAAACAGTTTTTGAACTTCAAATTAAAAGACTTAAATGACATTTACATCTCATCGTCCCTTTTATTATATCTATTCTTTCCCCTTCTTCATTTCACTCTTTATTTTTTCTCATCAATCTTATCGCTACTTTTTTTTTCTTTAGGATCATTTATCTTATTTTCTTACCTATTCATCTAAGCACAACCTTTCCTTACATTTCCCTACCATAACAATGAACCACACCCATAATTATGATAGTTTAAATTTTAACTTTTTATCATGTCTTTTTTATTTGTAACTTGAGTTGTATTTATTTTTTTATTTTAATATTATTATTTCAAGATAAATTTGTATTACAAAATTTTTGAATGTGATTATGCCCCTGATTTGTTGCATGAATGAGAATAATTAAAATGTTAAAAGTTTATATTTTATCAGGTAGAAATAATATTTTTAATATTATATTATTTTGTGTAATGATAATAATATTTTAATTTTTTAAATGATATAAAATTAAAATGATGAAGCTTACATATAATGCTTCAATGCTTATGCTTCATTCTACATTAATAATATTGCATTAAATTCTTATGGCAATATTGATTAATTTCCAAGCCTCAATGCATTCAAATTTGAAAACATTGCTAAGTAGATTATCTTAAACAAGTATTATTTAAATTGTTTTATGTTTATAGTATGAATCGGATTCTGTAATTTATGTTTTTTATTTTTAATTCTTTCCATTTTCATAATCACTTGTACTCCCTTTTCAATTACTGGATTTATATTTTTTTCTTCTTTTTTTTGCATGATTTATATTATTTTTCTTCTTTATTTTGCATTCATCTTATTATTTCTCAAGGTTTATTAATCTAAAAATTTTTATTCTCTCTCTTGTTTTTTTTTATTAATCTAGAACTCGAATTCCTTTCACCTATATTTAGACCCTTTTTTTCTATCTTATGGACTAGTCAATATTTTGAAATGCAAAGTGCACTGTGATGCAAGTGTTTATTTTTTCTTCAATTCGCAAAGCAAAAAAATAAACTGATGCTTTTGTAGAGCACTCACGATCTATGCGTGTATGTCATAGACCTTTGTTTAACTAAATTTAACATCATTAAATAATTATTTTTATTAAATATAATGATACATTCAGTAACCATTTTACAATGTAGATTATTTAATAGTTGACTTTAAACTTGATATAAAATAAAAAATTTGATGTAGTACTTAAGGTTAAGAAAATCTTCATAAGTGAATTTGCAAAATGAAACTCTTAACAAATTTAAATAACTTCTATTATGTGTTAGAATTGACAAAAGATTAAAATTAGTGTAGTAGTTTTATCATAATTTAGAAACTTTAAAATTGCATAAAAATATAGATTGGGCCAACTTTTTTAAAGTAAACTAAAGAGAATACACTAATCATTATTTCATTTTTTATTCATATAATTTCTTTTTACAATACTCAAATGTTTGAATTTCTAATTCTTTAGTAGTATTTATGACTCTTATTTTGTTTTCTACTTGAACTTCATTTTATATTTTCTTTTCTTCTCTTCCATTGAGAGTATTTGTCTTACATTTAGTCATGTTGCTCTTTTAAATGCTCCACAAGGACGAAGAAGATGCTTTTTTAATTCAAGTTATACATCCATTTGTCACTTTATCACAATGAATATATATGTGGCATTGAACTTGATTCGGATTTTAACGTAGTATACTTTCCAGTTAGATTCTTTTTCATTGCATTCCAATCGGCATATTGAAATTTTATTTTATGTGCAACACATTGTTGAAACTAGATTATCATGCAGGGCAAATTATGTAAAATTTTATAGGAGAACAGTATTCATTTAATTGTTAAAATATTATGCACATATGAACTTGTTATCTATTTGAATTCTTATTAAATTAAGTAATCTTTATAAAATGATCTTTGGAGAGCATATTTGTTCGTGTATATGTTAATAATGAGAATGCATAGATCCTAATTAAATTTTCGTATTATTTTATGAACCATTATTAAGATGTCACCCATATATTAGTTAAAATTAACAAGAAAGAATATTTCATTACCTTAAAATATTCTCATAATCTCCTAAAATGGTGTGCTCACTTGTCTAATTTGAGTCAATTGAGATACTTTTGTAAGTCGAGGAGGTCAGGATGGTGGAGATTGAGGGCAACAATTATGTGTTGCTTTAGGCTGCGGGCTTATAATTGATGGCCAAGGTCAAGAAGCATTCTACGGTTGCAAGTCATGGGCAAAGAAATTGGGTTGTAGATGATGGAGAGATGTTAGAATGCTATTGCATGTCGATGGTCAAGATCATGTCCCCAATTTCTCACTTGTTCGCTTTTAATGCTAAGAGTGTGCAGTACATATATATAATTGAAGACACTTTTCACAATTAGCCAAATAGTCACTTCTAGATTTGCTAGCATTTTAAAGGGTTTATACCATGACTATCAAAATGCTCAAGAATGTGCAGTACTATAAAAATTTTATAAATTTGAGGAAAGTTCTCACCCTTATCTATCCACTAACAACATCGATGAAAATCCTGCCTAATCATTAATATATTAAAGCATTTTTCTAGTTTCATGTCAGACCATGGAGAATACGCTCATTCTCTTTTGTTGCAACTTCATTGTCCCTCAATGAATCATTTTTTGTTGGTACAAAAAACGATTCTTTTTTTAGCATATACTGAACTTTTTTAAATGCTAAAAAGGGTCATTGGAAGCAAAAAATTTATTGAAGGTCTTTTAGCTAAATCGTGCTTAAAGAAATTTTCATGATTTAGATAATTTGTTGTTCTCTTATAGGGTCTATTTTTGAGAGTATTATCCATATGACAAACTTATTAATGTTTGCATTCAAGAGGCTCTTGACCTTTTTAGTTATATTAAATTAACATATCTAGTTAGAAGAGGAACTTAATGAACGAATGTCGTTAGGACTTTTTTATGA